CTTTTATCTGAATTGCCGTTTCCTGCTTCGCCAGTTTTCAACTTGCCTTTGCGTAGATGATTCATGTCCAAGGATATGTGACCGTTTGCTTTAGCTCGTCTACCATCTTGTAATGCACTCAATGATCTCAGTAACTTCAATGTTTTCTTTAAAGTTCTGGTCTCTATATTGCTCTCCTTGTGGTTTTGTTTTGACAACGGTGTCAATGCATTCACCAAAGTTATATACACTACAATATTTACCAATGTAATCTGAAATTTATTAAAAAATATTATTTGAATAACGAATAAAGTTAAATGTAATAAATACTAAATATAATCAGATATTACTGCACTCAGCATTTTTATCTGCACTTGTATAAACTGACTTTTTCAACACATTTCTCCTTGCTGTTTGTAGTGTATTGATTCTCGCAATGATAAATTAATTTTTTTCTTATTTAACTATAGTAAAATTGACGAAAACGAATTAACCATGAAATTGAAAGATTATTATCAATAAAATTATACGTTTTCTAGGAATGCTGTAATCAATCAGGAAATGGATTTGAAATCAACCCAAGCTTCACATCACAACATCAGAGAGTCTAACAGTGGTGGATTGGTTCAAACAAATCATGAGTCAAAGGGGTAGACTGATTTTCTTTCTTATTTTGTCCAGACACTCGTAAATCCTGCTGAAATCAAGAAAATAAAAACAATTTGAAATTTGAAATTGTCTGCAAAAAATCGTAATAAAGAGAAACGACTGAAAATAGAGAAATAATGCCATAATTTTTTTTGTTCAATAAAATCAAAACATAAAAAGTGAGTACACCAACAATTTTTTAAGGTCTAAGTCAGTTGTGTTATTACATTAGTACGAAGTAAAACAGCACTATTAGAAAATTTATTTTTCTTTTACCAAACATGATATTTTTCTTGTAAATATCTGGCAATAAAGATAAAAATAAATAGTATTATTTCTTCTTTTTAGTTGTTTCTCTTTTTTATGGTTTTTATGAAGTCGGTTTAGTTTTTGTTATTTAATTTGAATAATCTTGAGCTCTTTTGTTAATCTCTTTTTAATCTTTTTTTTTTGTTAATCCTTGCCCGATCTTTCAGTTGGTTAGTAGGTACTTAGTTTACCAAACATTTATTAATGCGCATGCTTTTCGTAAATTATTTCCTGAATTTGTAAATAAACATAAACCTCACATAATATCTAAGTCATATGACATTAATTTCTTCAAATCTACCGTAAAAAAAATTCTTTTTATTGTAAATTAGCTAACCCGGCGAACTTCGTATCGCCTATTATACCCGTTTTTCATAAATCCTTTTTTTTATATAATTTTTCATACATAAACCTTGTCATGACAATAAATAACTCATCAAAAAAAGAATCATCCAACTTGGTGCAGTCGTTCGAAAGATATGCGCGTACATACATTCAGCGATTCATTAAATTATATAATTTTTTTTTTGGGTTTAAGATTCTCTATATAAACAATTTTAAAACACTGTAGGTTTCGATATAAAGTTTAATGATTTTTTTAACTGGTGTTCTTAGTGGTGTTCTTAAAGTAATAAGTAGGTACCTATTTAAATAAAAGAAAGATTGACTTATTATATTTAGCTATATTATAATATTTCACGAAATAAACTAAAAAATACTTATAAGTAAGGTCTGCTTTCTACAATTATTTTAGAAAGCAATCTTTTCCTTTGGCTTGTACGTATCGAAGAAATCTCTGTACTGTGGGACGACGACAGGAGCAGATCCGGGGATTCCACAATTAGTCATCGCAGTCTCGACAAATTCTTGATCTAGACCCTTTATCTCACATAAGTCAGTGAGGAATTCATACCATTCGTCGTATGTTAGCTCCGTTTTACTGGAAATGAAAAAAACTTTCTCAAAATTGTACGGTCCAACCTTTTCCATGGATGGAATCGAAGATGCAGCAGAGACCAACCGACTTCCAAAGCACGGAGGAGATCGAGATAAAAAAATTTTGCCCGCCTTTCCTATGACCGGTCACGCAAAGTTGCTTAACTTCCGCATCGCATAATACGCTGACCACGGTTTAATCAAGATAATTTTCAATATTTCAATTTATGTTTATTGAGATACTAACCAGAACTTCCACCATGTTACTCCCGTATCGGTCATGGTAACTTTTCTGTCGTCTATTATCTTGCTCTGGCGCATCCAGTAGTCTGATCTGTATAATGTGATCGTCGTGCCGTCTCGTTTCGTGTCCATAAGTTTTGTAAATTCAACGAATTGACTCTCTAATGTCGCTGGTTCTTCATCCATTGATTCTTCGTTAGATCTAAAATTATCTTATAGTAACTGCACCGCTTGTACCTACACATAACACGACAGATTCTGTTTTTAATATGAGGAGAGTTTCATCTCGAAAACTGAGAGTTCCATTGTAACTTGAAAGCACATCTTTATATATTTTGAACTAATTTAAATTATCTACAAAAAAAGTTTGAATTAAATTATCTACAAAAAAGCGCATTAACATTGAAAACACTTAAAGTTAATATAGAAAAATAAATATAGTTACATAAGTAGGTAGTGATATACCTAGCTTTTATTTGTAAACTTAGATGTATGTAGTATATATTCAAAAGGAAATGTTATTTATTTATAAAAGCTAGCGATAGCGACATCTAAACTAAAACCCTTTAGTTAAAACCAATGTATGTCGAAAACTTTAGATAAACTCTTAATTAGAAAAACAACCTTAAAACCCGTGTGTTCAATGACAATGGTAACTATGGTAACCAGCATAAGATGAGCATATGGTTCTTTTTTTATGAACTTTCTTAACAATTTACAAATCAAGAACTTTCCGAAAATAGATATATAAATATAGGTACCGAAAAATTTGGATGTCTCTATTACTTTACAATTCTTGTTACTAGTACCTAAGAAATATATAGTATTAGGGAAAAGAGAGCCCAGTCTCCAATGTTTTTGTCATAATGTGCGAGAACGTTGACTGATATAGGCATAGAATAATAGTACTAGTAATAGGTTTAACGGGCTTTCCGTTAGACGGCGTGACTATGTCAATGCGATGTAGATCATCTCAATTTTTGTCAATATATATTTCTATAAATTAGTATAATCCCCGCAAATTGTTAAAGCGCCTGACCTCCATTTTGGTGAAGTAATGATGTCCAAAAATCAGTACAGTTAACAAATAAACACTGATTGATTGATTGGGTTGTGTTTAGATCTTTTATGTAGAAATACTATACTAGGTATAATATACTAAAACTTCTTGGTACTAGGTTCATAGCAAAGAGTAAAGTATATTCACCTTTTTAACACAGGGTAAATGCAACCTTTAACCATAAAGCAGGGCTCTCCGACTCCGCACCAAGAATTCTCAATTCATTTTACCTATAAAATTCTCCAATAATCTTAGTGTAATTCTCTTTGCAGTCATAAACTATGAGTATGTTTGTAGTATTAAATACTGCATAGAAAACCATTATATTACAACTATATGTTTTTTGCGACTTGGTCTGCGTAAAGCTACCGGATGTCAGTCGCGGGAAAATAACGTGGCATTAAAAAATTTTTGTTATCCAAATATATTTATTTATACATTCTATTTATATTTTTGAGATAATAATACTTAATGTATATTTTTTTTTTGTCATAATTCATTACCCAATTTGTACATGAATAAGCTCACATTTTCTTCAAAATTATGATAACAATGTACTTATCTAAATAATTTAGAATAATATTGTTTTATTTCAAATTGAAATAGAAAATACTTTAAAGTTAATGGAATTCAAAGGAAGTATTAGAATAATTACCATTCTAAAATCACGTAAGTAATTTAGAAAAATGCAATATTACTTTTTCGATAATTCAGCCTTTTAGTTTATAGTTACAATTACTATTAACACACACTTCACAAATATTGTTATTGTGTGTGTAAAGTATTTTAGAATAGGGTTTTTGGAGTCATCGAAATTTAAAAATATGTCCTTACTTTTGGCATACAACTTATTGCAATTCTACCATCCTTAAGATTAGTACCTACATCAACTTGTAGGCAAACCGAATTAAGTATATATACATGATAAGAAAATTGAGCTCTATATTTTCTTCTTGGATTTTTTTTGTACTGATAGTAGTTTTGATTCTTTTGATTGTCAAAAATAAAGACAAAACAAAAATAAATATTTCATTGTTATTCACTCAAAAGTAGCCTAAACAACAATGGATGGCACTCTTCGTAAGAATGACAGAATTAGATATGTAGATGGTAAGGAACAGATGAAGATCATAATTATTGCGTATTTCCATAGTTTTGGAATGTTTCAACAATCATGACAATTTTGCATCATGAAACGGCCGGTGTAACCTCGAAACGTCGGAAAATATAGGTAGTTGAAAAAACCAACTATCAAACGGTCAGTTGCAGAAACGTCCATTAGGGTTAATTACGCCTTTAAGCTCTAATGAATGTCAAATTTGTATGGGTAATGTCGCTTTAAACTAATGGAAATTTTAATGGTCGTTTGTGCAACTGGCTGAAAGTCTATCGCGTCAATACCCGTCTTTTACAATCTAATCAAGCGGTCTAATAATGAAGATCTTTAAGCTAGTAGTTGAAAATTGTCTGAGTTTACAGTCTCATAATTTAATGAATATCAGTGGTACTTAAAGTCGATTGGGCTACAACCCATCAAGATAAACTTTAACGGTAATGCTCTGGTGGTGAATCGCGAACAGGGTATTTGAAAAAATTAAAAATATATTGTAAATTGTAGTTATCGTTTCATGATGAGATTTGTTTGTGACGAAACAGCGTTTTTCGCGCGTTTTTTTTGCATTTTAACTTTAACATTGATTTCTATTGATAAATACTGTAAATTTTCCCGAAATATTAATGTAATGTGTTTATTATGTAACAAAGAATAATTTAAAAGGGTTTTTCAAAATGAGTCAAATACCCTGTTAGGGCACACTTAATATTTGTTCGTCGCCGGCCTACAGTGGGTCGCGACCCATAGTTTAGACTGACTACTTTGCTAAACAATTATATATTAGTTTTAATGTATTAGTTATTTAACGAGAGCTAACTATCAAGATTATAAAAATGAAAATATCTCTATTCAAATGTAAAACAAGTTCTTTTGTATAGCTTTCCTTAATCAAAGCAGGGTTCAGTTTCACCCTGTCGGCCTTAACTGTGCCGATGCTTAATCATTTTGAACAATCGTAACTGCTATGAAAATAATGACTGTACAATTACTGCAAAATTCTTATTTACACATTAATATTATATAGTATGTATTCTTGTCACAAAAATAACTTCTACTTAATAAAATAATATTATTATCTCTATTTATTTTAAATTCGTCTAATAACTTGAAGCCACGATATTTGTATCGATCATTTCTCCGTAACCTTCTTTGTTTGTAGCTTGCCTTTGCTGTAAAATATATCCAGGAACAAACCTGAAACGAATGCAAATATTTTTATGTTGCCAAACATTTAATAACACACAATTCATATATTTTTTTATAAATACGAAGCGTAATCAGTATGAGTAATAATAATATGATTATAAAATTTATTGTATAATTAATTCAAAGACGACGTCGTGGCACTACTAGTCCACACATTTAACCCTTCAGCAGATAATAGGGAAATATTGGATACGTAATTTTTCGTTTCAATATAAGAAATGGCTTTTCAAAATGGTTTTACTAATTTCAAATAATAGGCATTAAAGTTGAGAAGTAGAGGTATGCCACGTCACAAATACGAAGAAAATGTACGAAGTTGTGACGTCATATGACATTTCAGCTCAATGTATTGCCGTATTTATTGATTACGCAATACGGAAAATATTTTTTTATCTCTATCAGAGAATAGTGGCACCTACATTATTTCTGAATTCTATACTAAGTGAGAAGTTAAATGGGGAGCTGAGCAGTGCGTGTGATGTTATTTACTTACCAGAAAATACTAAGACAGCTCCCAACCACTGTCTTCCCAGCAGGACGTTACCAAAGAACACTACAGATGCGAGAACAGTGAAGAATTTCCTGGTCGTTGTTACAACAGAGCACGGCAACGGACCGAACTCGGATACCTACAAGAAGACACAAATATTCACGTGGAGATATGGACAATTTATACTATTATAATTGTCTATGCTGTTTTAATCAAACAAATACAGAGTAACAAAACGGTTTCCTTGAAATAAGAAATAAAATTGAGATGGATAGCGATTCATTTCATTTGTTTGATGAGGTATGATTTTGAGTTCAACATTAATGCCTCCTAAATCTGAGTTTAATTGTATTTATTCAATATTGCCCTTGCCAAGTAAATAATGAATTAATTACCATGAAGAAGATAAACAATTGTCCTAGTGCGCCTGTTAATGCGAGACACACGAGATATATTAATACCTCAGGGTACATATGAACGAAGCTGACAAAACGGAATATTTCACCAGTTAACACAACTCCCACAGAAATGATTATGCTGGACCTGTAACAAAAACAAAAATTTGGATACAGGAATAAATGTATGCTTACTATGATTTAATGAAATCGACAATGGCGCTTTAATTTCATGTTTTACAGTAAAATTGGTCTAAAAATATCATGATACTCTTGTGCCGATGTTTTGATGCCTTTTCAAAAAAATATGGCTCGATATCTCTTTCTAAGCTAACACCCCACCAAACCATAACTAAAGTCGAATAATGCCTATGTTGTACTCTGTTGACTAATCGTGATGCTTCTTTAGAGCTTTGAGCATAAATACGGTCATTACGTTTGTTAAAATATTGCTGATTCTTTTTTCTGTTTTTTTCTGTGTAAACAATTTTTTTCTGTGACATCCCCTTGTGTACCGCTTATGTAGTTGGTTTGATTTAACCATTCCTTTTAATCCCAACGATAAACGAAAAAGCGGGGTATTACAAGTTTGACCCTTTTGTTTGTCTGTCTATTTATGTGCGTGTGTGTTTGTCTGTGGCATCGTAGCTCCCGGATAGACCGATTTCAGTACGGTTTTTTATTCGAAAGATAATTCAATATTTTTAATATGGTTTCAAAATCTTAAAAAAAATAAATGGATTCTGTGGTAGTATTGTTCAAATTTTCAAATTATCTGTTAAGAAGTGACCAGTGCGATAATGCAGTTTCTTATAGGCTGCAAGTCCTAAGGCATCTTTTAAAATATCTTCATCTCCCGAGATAAAATCTTTTGTTTTCGGACAGGATTTCTTTTCTTTTCTTCACTTTTTTGATCGGCTTTTGCGTCACAAACAGAGTAGGTTTCATTGTACCTATCAATAGCCCGGTACACAAATATTTAACGAACACCAAGCATATGGAGGGTTTTGGAAATTGTGGTTAGTTCCATACCTACTTCATATAATGAAATCACATCGATGCGGTTATCTTTATCACCCCGTTCCATTTTATTATCACAAAATATTTTATGATGTATTGGTACGAAAATAAGAAAAGACAACAAATAATCACATACAATTACATATTCGATATCAAAAATTAATATATAGTTTATCTTTAATTTTAACAGTATTTATGGCCAGATTACTTAATCTGTCGTATATATAAATTTCAGCATTCTACGACTTCAGGAAGTAATCCCAAAGGTTTTGATAATCATCAGTGAGTGAGTGTATAAGTATCGAAATAAGGCTTTCATAAAATAAAAAATGTAATAGCTATGCAACTGAAATTTTATGTATGTAGTATAATCCAAACATAAGTTATAATGGTCGAAAAATCCGACGAAGCGTTTCGAGAAAAATGTAGTTAGTGCCCTTATGCTTTTGTTGTTTCGCGTCTTTGCGGCCACTACCGTGGTCCTAGATTTATTCTAACAAAAGATTTTTTGACAGTAAGATACGATTTTTTTATTATGGAAAACCTAAAAGTGTAGTCTGTAAATTTTTTAAAAATAGTTTCGAATTTTATTTTATGTACAAATGTCGTTTCGATTTGGCTTTCTCTTACTGGCTCGCTCAGCATTAGACATAAACCTTTTTAATAAGGGCTCAGTAGTCTGGTTATTAAAATCATATTTTGCAGTTGAACTTGTCATTGTTGAACATTGTGTATTTATAGAGGAATAGACATAATATTATGATAATAAATTTAATTGAATTATATTAGAACAATTTCGAATACTATAATTTTATTAATTTTAATACTTACCAAAAGTTGGTATTCAGCATCATCGAATAAGCAGTGGGTGATGATTCACTTTTGATGCGTTCCTGAAATGTATTTAAGGAAATTATCATCAAATTATATATAACGGTTATCGCATATCTATCAGAGAATTTGGATGACACAAATTTTCTTTACACTTTTCAAATTAATGACTGCCAACATAAGAATTCTAACGATTTAGAACATATATCTTAAAAACAAAATATAATTAGAAGAAACAAAGTATAATATAAAGATGAGATATCCACCTGAACAGCACCAGTGAGGCCATCCATTGTCAAAGAAAGAAGAACAAGCAGTTCACCAATACCAATTCCTTGCGTTTCATCAGTAGAGACTACCTTCTTAACTTGGTCTTTATACATAAACATGATTACACCAATGACAATAAGTAAAACAAACAAGTACTTTCTCAATGGATAGGATTTTCTTCCGATTAATACACCCAATATCATGACAGGTATTGGCTTGGCTGCTTTCCCCACCACCTAGAAATAACATGATCATTTTAGTTTCAAGCTTTGCTTAAGCATCAAGCCATTTTTCTTTATTCAAATAAAAATTTGATGAATGTTGTTTTCCAATCAATATCAGCATTCATTTATCTTATTTCTCTTTTATTATATTGTCTCAGGTTTGGGTGTTGTGTTAACTTCGTTCTACGTACATTCAATAATACAAGTGCTAAAAACTATTATTTATTAATGTGACAGTTATAGATGTACCAGAATCTGATGGCAAATCAGAAAATTTTGTAGAAGGCAACATTGGGGAAAAAGGAAAGATATCTTGATACTTGTCAATTTTGAAATTGATTAACCGTCTGGGTGAGACATAATAAGACATAAAATATGGTGAGACATAATAGTGCACAAACATACACCTGTACACTCTATATTACCGTCATCTAATAATATGTTACTTGACCTGGAATGTAATGTGAATAAATAAAAGAAGATATACTTTATGTTTTGTTTATTGCTAATCTCTCCTAATATTGGAACTGTCTGTTAAGCTTACAAATGTAAATAAACCTGGTTTAATTTATATTCTTCTTTTCACCATTCCTATTTTTTTCTGGCATTGAAAAATGTCTTCATATCTTCTCCGAAAAAAATCACAGTTTATGACTAAATTTTGAATGGTTGAAAACATGACAAATAAAATAATTACAGCATATATTATCTCCTATTACTACTTCTAGATTTTTTTGTAAAGTGGCTGTAAAGATTACCACCTACTATGCAGTAAATTCTTGCTGCATATTAGGTGGTAATCTGGTATCTGTCTGTAGCATATTTTCATATAAATTTATGAATTTCGAGACTTGATTTTTAAAGAAACAAAAAGTCTGTTACTATAGAATAGAAAAAAATAATAAGTTAGGCTTGCAGGGTTAGAATTAGTAATAAATAAAACTAATTAATAATTCACATAGTCTCACCTAAACCTATACAAAGAAGAAGGATTTTATTGTTTGTTTGTATTGGACTGATTTCAAACATTCTTTCACTTTTAGTAATCTACATCATAAGTAGCTCGGTGGCATAGAGGATAAGCACTGCGGCTCACAATTGTTTTCGTTAAGCATCTTTCGCAGGGGCGGTCATGGGATGGGTGATCAAAAAATTATTATCTCAAGCTACTTCGTGCTTCAGAAGGCACGTTAAGCCGTTGGTCCCGGCTGCATTTGCAGTTGTTAATACCCTCCAATCCGCATTGGGTCAGTGTGGAAGGTCATGGCCCATCCTCCTTAATCCGATAGGTCAATATAACAATAAATACCTGTGTAGGGTAATTAATCCATTGCAAGGCCATATTAGAGGTTACCATACCTAAGAGGTATGTAAGCGCTGATGAGAAATAGTAAATTTTTTTTGTGTTATCCACTTCATGGTGCCATGAAAGCTGAAATAATACATGTCTATTGACAAAAGTAAAATAGATATTAATTAGTTTAGTTGCCTTTAATTAGTTGAAAGGCTTAATTTTTATGACGAGATGAATTACATTTGGAATCTGTTTCAATTGAAGAAATAGGAATTGTAGTATGAATAAAATAACTATTAAGCAATAGCAGTTTAAATCTGTTTAATTCTTAAAGAAAATTATCATGATATTCCGGCATCTATAAAACTTCAATTTTATATTAAATATCCTCTTCATAGGATATATCGCGAAAGATTTCTCATAATAACAATGTTAACTGCAATACGTATACAATATTAAGTATCAGATACAAGTTATAGTATAAAGGAAACTTACCATTAGAATTTGAGCGAAAATATAGTTAACAACACATTGCACTAAGACTAGAGATAATGTACACGTAAATCTATCGTTGTCGCCGTATTTACCACGTGTTATTTTTTCTTGTAGCATACCAAATATAAAATAACAGAAAAATATCCCACTTGCATAAAGAATAAAACGAAATTCACTTCTAGATTTAGTCATTTTGTTGGCTTTTTAATTTTATTGAACTATGTAAACAAACACTAATGCAAATTTTATTACAGGGATAGGTTTAATTACGATTACATTCGCAATGTTGAATGACACGTGGATTATGGAAAAAAGAACTAATTTTAATAAATTGTCCAAAAGTTAGGAAACAAAAGTTCCCGCAAATACTGGAGTAACACGTATCATAACTGTAAGATTGACAATGAGCACAGCAGAGCACAGACAATGAAAAGGTATCACAGACCACTATTATATTAACTAGTAAATACGAGTAATACTCTATACTTTTGATTCGATCACTTACTTGGTATCAAATTAAATCAAACTAACACTGACTGATCTGAACTTAATATCCGTACTAACATGATGCCTGACGTTCTATTCTATTTGCCATCGAACGAAAATGCGGAAAATTTTAAATGGTTCTTTTAATTTTGTTAAAATTATATCCATGAAGGTTGTCGGTGCATCAAAGGCAGTGTCAGGTCATACTTCCATTACAATAGAAATCATCGGATATTGCGTTTTTTGGAGAGGGGTTTCGTTTTCGGAGAATAAATAGGCCGACAGGTGTCATGTTAATTAATATAAGTAGTACTTCCGAACTTATCCGACAGAAGGAAAGAGCGAAAATACTTTATCGCTCGGTTATGGGTAAAACCGCGCCATTCATCGTATCGGATACTTCAGCAAAATCGAGTACTTTTAGAATGAGGAAGTATTTAAAAAAAACCATTAGTTCCCGAAATCCAACCAGATGTCGCTACGGTACGTTCTTGACTTCTCCGTGATAGATAACCCTTCCGGTTTTCTTTCAAGTTGAAAAGTAAATTAGTTTTCAAAACTTAATAAACAATTCATATTCTATTTGTACTTTTTCGTATTTGTATTAATATCTAATTTTCGAACATTTCTAATTTCATTTTTTTAATATGTTAAAAGGAACGGAAATGACTGTCTTTGGTCCATTTGTTTCCTTGCAAAAATCAACTTTTGCTAGAGAAGCCATCAAGTGGAGGTGTTCAGTGTAGTGCACAAGCGCCGTTAGTTTTGCGAACCGTTGGCAAAGTTTTCGACTTTCACAAGTACTATGGATTTTATATCAATATAATTCGTCGAGTGGATGCATAACGGCACATAAGAAAAACAAGCTGAATTCTGCTCTCCGCTTTTTGTTCTTGATTCCAAACCTGAATTTGGATGAATCGAGTGAAGTTACGAGTAACCAATAAGGTGGCTTGTATTGAACCTATCATCGTTCCTTTGCACGTAACCTAATAAATAACTTAAACTTACCATTCAAATAAATTAAAATTAATTTGAAAGTTAGATATTAAAAAAGACACGTAACGTGTCATATATAATTATTAATTTTCGATACTCAGTTTACTTTTATTACGCCAGAAACAAAATTTGAATGAATATCATAGACATGATCCAAAAATCGCTAGTGACATCTAGTTTGATTTCAAGAACTAATTATTATTTTTTAAATACTACCTCATTGATTAATATTGAAAAAATTTGATAGGGATTTGATCAAAGGACGATGATGATCTGACTTATTTAAGCAGTAAAATGACATTTCCTAATGTCATTCTGTGAATGATGATGTCTTTCATGTAATGTCATTTTTTATTACTTCCTGTTGTGGCGACTGATACATAGCGACATCTAATACATCGCACTAACATCGCCACAACAATCGATAGCGAGAAGACTAGCATTGTCACAGCAATCGATAGCAAGACGAACTGCAAGAAGTTTCAACACCAAGTAACGAGATGGCGCTGTACCTATACAAACTTCATAAATTAATAACTACAAGGCATTTAGAACAAAGAAACCTATATCGCACAGAAGAAGTTTCATTACCAATTAACATAAATAGAACGTCCAACCTACATCGGTCGGACCGCGGTCCCCGGGCTAACAACACCTAGCTCGGAGGGAGACAATTATCCTTTAGTCTTCCTGGCCAGTTGTCTCCTCCATCACCACAGTAAGGACCCAACCTTCAACCATAAAGGTTCCTAAAGTGGTGACCCCAGCAGAACATCAGCAACCTTCAGCATCACAACGCAGTCATCACTCTTCATCAACAGCCTCTCATCCTTCACCATTAGCCTCTCATCCCTCATCAGCACAGCCACTTCAGCAACAAGCCAACTAACACCAAGGTCCATCACAGCAGCATCGACGACGCTTCCTGGATTCTTGGTACCACTCGACGGCATCATCCCAACCTGGTCCTCGCAGCCAACGACCGGACCTCAGTTCACCCAACTCACCGGCGTGGCAGCCCTGCATACCAGCAGCTTCGGTCCCGACGTCACAACCTGGTACTTGCAAGCTCTGAAGCACTGACTGCATACCACCTATCAACATGGATCGATTTTCGGTTTATGGGGAAAGTAATGTGGCGACTGATACATAGCGACATCTTATACATCGCCACAACAATCGATAGCATAGAACGTCCAACCTACATCGGTTGGACCGCGGTCCCCGGGCTAACAACACCTAGCTCGGAGGGAGACAATTATCCGTTAGTCTCCCTGGCCAGTTGTCTCCATCATCAAGTAGGAACCAACACCTTCAACCTAAAGGTTCCTAAACTGTATTTAAAAAAAATAAACATTTGTTCCCGAAATCAAACTAGATGTCGCTACGGAACTTTCATGAACTCTGCATGACCCTCCGATTTTCTTTCATGTATAAAAGTAAATTAGTGTCCAAAACGCAACTCTCATATTCTATTACGAACTTTGCAAATTTTAGTTTTTAATGTGTTACTTAAAAGGAACGGAAATTACTATCTTTGGTCCATTCGTTTCCTGCAAAATCAACTTTTGCTAGAGTCGTCATCTAGTGGTGGTAATTTTTTTGTGCTTTCTTTTTTTTAAATACTTCCTTATAAAACGATTAATTGTTACGTTACTATTAATACTTGGTAAAAAGTGCTAAAACATGAAATGTCATTTTACTGCATTAAATTAGGTAAATTTTCAGAGCGGCTTCTTTTTTATCATTGCGGTGGCGAGTTTTTTAATTCACAAATCAAATGTGCTTGATTATATATTAAGATGCTGTTACTTATACTCTTTGGTGTGAATCTAATAATTTGTGAGGCAGTCTTTAAAACACAACACTTTACTTTTTTCTTATTTTTCACCACTAGAATGATGGTATTAGTCATTAATATTACCCAATTAATTACTTTAATACATTTTCTTAAATATTCGAAAAAATATTATTATATAAATATATAATAATATTTTTTTGAATAATATAAGGTAAATACCTTATCACGTTATTGTAATACAATACAATAACGTGATATAAACAAAAATATAGTAAGTTTAGCTAGGCTTCATATTATCGCTGTATAGTTAAAATTATTAATAATAATTATTATAAGTTAATAATAATTCAACAATTAGAATAAACAAAGAAAATTTTTAAAAGATAACAATAAGTCTTGTTCTTACGCAACAGAAGATTTCTTTAAATAACATAAGAAAGTATAACTATTGACATACTACACGTATAACCAGTTTTATTCTGAAGTTTTTCTTTATCTTACTAAAAACTTTTAAAAAATCCAAATTTAGTTATGATTTCTTATATTGTGAAGAAATTAAATTCTGAAGTTTTTCTTTATCTTACTAAAAACTTTAAAAAAATCCAAATTTAGTTATGATTTCTTATATTGTGAAGAAATTAAAAAGCATTTGAAGTAGATGGACGATAAAGGACATCGCCGAAAATGGCCGCAATACCATTAAATATTAATACTTCAATAATAATTACTAATTTATTTATTAAATTGGAATCAAATATTTATTTGACACGGACAAGCTGCGATCCAAAATTAATATTTAAAAGTACTTTAACAGTAACATTTTTATTCGCAAATATTCACATTCAATATACTTAAATTCTATTGAGTCAGATGGATGTAATTTACACGTCAGATCAAGAAGATCATTTATTTTTATAAGATAACCTTTAAATCATCGAACACAAAAACATTAAATTAAATTGACCGAACATAAACTTAAATTTACATAAAAGCGCCATCTCTTGGTGATTTTCCAACTAAAACATAAGGACATAAAAACTGAATATTATACAAACTAAATTCATTAACTGTTGATAATTCACTCTTGTTTATTCAGAAAGATTGATATTCATACGACATATCCTAAAAACTACTTGTTTCTATTACATTACCTTTATATTTCTCGTAAACATATTAACATCATGTCATTTATGTATTTAAGGCGCCATCTTTTGATGTAAACTATCAAAAAGCTATAGGTTTTTTAATTTTAAGCTTTTCAATAGGTATATTATATAACTATTAGAATGATTTATTTGTCTATTGATTGACTTAGAAACTTTTTACAAATCACAACGAAAAACCGACTTTCTTAAAGTTGAGTTTTTTTGCTTCGACAATATAGACATCAATATCATATCATGTACTTAGAGTGCCATCTCTTGGTGGTTTTCCAAACGAATAATAACCACAAAATAAATTATTTTTTGCGTGATAATAAGTTCTAAAACTCGGTCGCGGTATAATAAATACATAATGAGAATTAGTTAGTGACACACAATAAAATAAGTATTTTCCTATATTTTTTTGGCTCTGGGGCCACCAATGTATGGACGTTGAGCAATGTCCTTTAATTAGATGAAATTTTCACTCAGAAAGTATCATCTTAGTCTATATTTCCAAGTCTGGAATATTCTATTCTCATACGAGGTATATTTTCAAGAACGCGTTAATTAATTCTGTTTTTAATGATAGTTTTTTTATAAAGATTATAGGACTCCCAAAAAGTACGCGTAAGAATTTACCCAATTTTAAATCGAACTATAGACTTGTAGTTCGTGAGATATTCATCTGTAGCCTAAGGTACTTTGTGGTACGAATTAATACTGAGAAGGCCTCCAGTGTTAATTCGTGTTAATCCGAAATTTCGAGTCGTTCATAATAAGTTATTTTGTTAAAATGTCTTTTGAGGGAAAGGCATGGCAGTCAGCAGTGAGTGCAGCACATCCAGCCTCCGCCATTTTGTGGTAACCTGACGTATTTGTGGTACCCAAATAATTGATCGTCATCATCTTAGAGCATAAAGT